TTTTCTCCCTCAGAGTAGTCTGTGACTCGACCGCTTTGGGTGAGAACAAATGTGTTCGACAAAATGCCCGCAAGAACTTCCAGTGATTGCTCAAATCACTGGAAAAAACAATTGAGTGTTGATCAATAACAGAGAGTTCATATATAGCAACTTTGGGCACAGATCGGACCGATAGCAGACGATCTTGAGTCTTGAGGATTTCAGCTGCAGAAGCAGGGGATGAAGCTACCACAACCAGTTGAGTTCCCAACTTGACAGAAATCAATGGGCCATACATTTTGGCAAATTGTGCCAGGGAAATATGAGGGTTTTTCCCCATTTGGAGAATTTTTCCTAACACAGGCCATGGTCGAGGACCTGGTGGAAGGTTTCGAGATTTTTGTGTGAGTTGTTTAAGGATGAGGAAGAAGAATGAAATCAAGAAAAGAAAGGATGCTGGCAGCGTATAATACTCCATTGACAACAATAACATACCAAATAACACATGCAAGTATGATGAGAAGATTGTCTATTGCCATACCCATATATAAGTATAGTAATTTAAGTCATTAATGGTTTACTTGTATTGTGTTAATTTGTATTGTATCATTAAAATTCATTCTTAGCTAATGACGAAAATACTCATTTTATATCACGATTCATTTGGTCTAATCGCATTGTTACCAAAATACTTTCTTTGCATTTTGTTTTTATTTATTAATTATTATTTAATAGTTGTATTTCATTTTTTATCCTTATCTTTTCATAGTAGCTCTATTCATTATCTTTTTTTATTTTATTTATAGATTTATCATTCAAATTATGGATATGTGACATTATTTTACGATAGAGACCGATACAATATGTTCAAACAATGTATTTATTAAAACATTACAATACGATTTTTCAGTACAATCATCTAAAACAAAGTGTAAGGGAGCAAAACGACTAGAGTTTTCAAGGTAAAAAAAGAATATTATACCAACTTTATTAACACTTTTCTTATAGTTCATGAATGATTTTCTTAAAAAAATAAAAATGTATTATTCATTGTTTTTTTTATTAGAATTACCCTTTTTTTTAAATAATAGTTATAAAGTTTTCAAGTATTTTTAATTTCCAAATAATAATTATCTATATTTTTTAGAAGAATCAAAAATAATATATTGATTAATTTTTATTTAATAATATCCAGTCACATTTTTAATATTTTGTTTATTGTTTATATTGAACAAGAGAATATTATACAAATAATTCAAGTTGACTTAGAGAGTGTAGTTTGGTTTAAAAGTTTGTCAAACCTACTTTTAAGTCAATATTTGATTTTCTGAAAGTGTTTGGCGAAGAAAAAAAAGAACTTAAAATAAGTTAAAAACTAAAAGTAGCTCCACCTCCGCTACTTTTTATTTTTTGACTTAAAAGTCATTTCAATTTGACCTTTAACTTTAAGCTATTTTTTAAATCAATCCAAAGAGGCTCTTACTCATCCATCTAAATATAGTTTACTTTTCTTCCTAAAGAACTTTAAGAAACTTAAGGATATTTCCAAAATCCCGGCATGTGATTTTCTTCCACGGCTTAATCACGCTGAACTAAACACTCATTTTTCATATTAGTTGATTATTTTACTTTTGAAGTAAAAATACTCTTTCTATCCTTAATTACTTGTCCATTTTAAAAATTGGCACACCTATTAAGAAAATAATTATTGACATAATAAATTTACCAATTTATCCTTATTAATTATGAAATGGATGAATTAAAAGTTAAAACATTCAAAAAATTCTACATTTTCAAAGTAATTAATTAAGGGTATAATAGGTAAAACAAATTTGTCCTTTCTTGATTTGTCTAAATGGACAAATAATTAAGAATAACTTAAAAAAGAAAAGTGGACAGGTAATTAGGGACAAATAGACTAGTTGTTTAACTTACTAAATTAAGAAAACATCAATTAAAATTTACCTATATTACCTCTACAATTATTTTTAAAAAAATATTCACATTTATTTTTAAAATTTCTAATTTCTTTTTAGAAATGAATTAATAAAATTATTTTCTTATTTATAATTTTTAATATGCGTGTAAAATGAAAGACAGAAAGAATATTTATTTTTTTGAAAAAACACTTTTCTAAAACAATATTTTTAAAAAAGCGCTGATAATTTTGCTTGTATTCGCTATTTTCGGCTAGTGCGAATATTGTATGTATATAATATGATCAATAGAGTTTAGACGAATTAAAAAAAAACAGACACAATATTTTTGTAGCGCTTAATCTCCTTAATTCTTAATTGGCAAACCTATAAATAATTTGAAGAAAAAAAAGCTAAGAACTGTTAAAGTGAACAGGTCAAACTCACGTTTAACATTATTTTTCTCATTTTAAATAGATTGCTCATTTAAAAAAGAAAATAATGCTCCCATTTCATAAGGAATGAGCATCGTTGACAGTATTTTTTTTTTCAATCGGTGCTCGCATTAGAGTTTTGGTTAAATTTGATTTGTGCATTGCAGGGTCCATTTGGGGTGACACTTTCAACAAATTTTTCTCTATATTTAAGATTCAAAGCCAATACATTTGATTAAGAATGAAATAGTCTCAGTTTCACCACTGTACATGTAACAAACCAATACGGGACGGAGCTAGAGCATTTATTTTAAGAAATTATTAAATATTTCACAGTTTTGTAGTTTCCTTTCTTTTTTCGCAACCAGCTTCTATGGGGCGAATGAGTAGTTATGAGGAGTCGTTAGTAGAGTATATAAATATAATGCTAAATAGAGTATATTAGTAATGTTTGATTAATAATGCTTGTATTAATTAGTAATGCTTGTATCAATTATAGATAGATTATTTTTATGCATTGTTTGATTAGGTGCATTAAAAATAACATGTATTGCATAAAAAAATTTATTTACAAAGATACTATTCACAATTATGGTGGAAAAGATGAAAAAAAAAGTTTTAAGGGGCAATTGGGTCTTTAATCATGCTAATGCATGCATTAAAACCACATCATTACTAATACCTAGAATCCATGATATTAGTAATAGTGTAATACACACTTTAATACACAATAGAGTGTATAACTAATGTTTACATTAGTTATAAATAGGTTAGAAAAAAAAATACCAAACAAGGTATTAATAAAACATAAAGTAATAATTTCTATTTCTAGCTTTATTATTATATATAAATTTGGCGATAAATTATTGTTCAATATTAAAGTCTCGCATTAGTTAAATGTATGAGATTCAGTTTTGTTATATGGTGGAGATGTGAGAGAAGTGATCAAGATATTTATATGTTATATTAAGAAAATGAATAGATTAAAGAATATGTAAAAAGACTATTTTTTTTTGTATTTCAACTTCTGGCTAATACACGTAGTGTATCAGGAAAAATAATGCATGTATTAGCTTTGTGTATTACTATAAATAATGCTTGCATAAATTAAACACTCTATTGTGTATTAAGGTGTGCATTACTAATACCATGAATTTCTAGGTATTAGCAATGCACTGATTTCAATGCATGCATTAACATGACAAAAGACTCAATTGTCCCTCAAAACCTTTTTTACATCTTTTCCACGATAAAGTGGAGGGTATCTTTGTAAATAATCTTTTTAATGCAATACATACTATTTTTAATGCATTAAACCAAACAAAGCATTAAAATAATCTATGTATAATTAATGCAAACATAACTAATACATGCAGGAGTCGTTTGATAGAGTGTATAAAAATAATGCTCAATAGAGTGTATAAGAAATACCTGCATTAATAATGCTTGTATTAGTTATACTTGCATTAGTTGTACATAAATTATTTCTTATACATTGTTTGGTTTGGTAGCATTAAAAATAGCATGTATTGCACACAAATATTTATTTATAAAAATATCCTCCATAATTATGGTGAAAAAGATGTAAAAGTATTTTTGAAGGGTATTTGTGTCTTTAAAATGCTAATGCATGCATTACTAATACCTAGAAATTCATGGTATTAGTAATACACTCCCCAATACACAATAGAGTGTATAATTACTGTTTGCATTAGTTATACATAGTATGAAAAAAAGTATCAAACAAGATATTACTAATAAACAAAGCTAATGCATGCAAGCATTATTTTTGTTAATACTTGCAAGCATTACTAATACACTCTATTTAACATTATTCTTATTCACTCTACCAAACGACCCGGTAATGTACAAGACTTCATATTTTATAGTCACTCATCTATTGCTACGTAGGCAATAGTTTATCAATAGGATTCTATAATACCATTCTTAAACTTATGTCATATACACAGTTTTAGAAATTGGAGTTGCGCATCTTCACTATCAATAAGTATGATGGACACTTAATTAGTTTCTTTGTTAATCCTACTTGATTCTGGGGAGGGGGGGGGGGGGGATTTTAAAATTTTGTGGAAAACCTATTTGGATTCAATGAATTAAAACTGTAACATCAAAACAAATATATTCAAAACTCAACAATAAATTATTTAAAAAACGATTGAATAATTAGAAACTTTGTCCAATTTCGACCAACTCTTCTTGGTCTTGATAAAATAAGTCTTAATCAAAATTAAATTGCACATGTAATAAAAAAATCTAAATACAAAACAAATAAACTCATATCAATTAAGTATCTAGTCATCTTCATTGATAATATCATCACTAAAATGACGACAAAAAATAAAGAATAAAAAATAGTAAAATACATACGTGTGTACTGAATCACCTCACCAATAATTTTCGTAATGAAGAATCCAAAAACCATTTATCTTTTCTCACCTTACCAACAGAGTTGTCAATTTATGAAAATGTTGATAAATAAATGGTGTGTTTGGTATGGCCAATTTTTTCATGTTTGAAAAATGTTTTCCAAATTATCTCATTTTCCTCAAATTTAAGGAAAATGACTTCCCTTCAATAATTGAGGAAAACATTTCTGAAACTCTACTTCATTCTTTAATTTTTTTTTCTGACCCTACCCATACCCATATCATAACAATGCAAAAACTAATTCCATTCTAAAAAATAAGATAGCTTTGGAACATAATAGTATAGTTTTTATTTGTAAGTGAAGGTACTACATGTTGCATGTGTAGAACAAAAAAGATATACACATTACATAGGGACAATGAGTAGAGGCTTTTCTTTCTGTAGAGTAACACCCAAACTTTTTCTTCCATATCTAACTGCATTGGATCCTCACCATTAGGAATTGACCACTCAAAGTAATGGATCAAACAAGCTAAAATCAAGTGAATTTCTTGTCGAGCAAAACCTAAGCCAGGGCATATTCTCCTCCCTGCACCAAATGGTATGAACTTAAAATCTTCCCATAAGTTGGAGTCACGCCCTATTGTGTAAACATTGACAAACAACTTCGAGTTATTTGGGATGGTATAATTCATAATCTTACACGTCTCAGGAGCACGACGACGAGGAATCAAGAAGGGAGTAGGTGAATGGATTCTCAATGTCTCCTTGACAATAGCAGCCAAATATGGAAGTTCACTGATGTTTGATTCTGTTATTATATCATTTTCCCTGAATTTACTTGTAAGCTCAGCCTGAAATTTGTGCATAGCACCCTTGTTCCTCAGCAACTCTATCATTGCCCATTCAATTGTTGAGGTTGTGGTGTTAGAACCCGCACCCACTAATTCCTGAAATTCAAGAACAAGATTGTGTCATGTCAACCTCAATTGGTTTTGCCTAAAAAATTCACATCTATTTGAAACCAGAGTATACTGATTTTAAAAAGTTGAGATATTACTATCACTAAGATATTGATCTGTAAATCTGAGAATCCACTATCAATCATGACATTCAAAAAATTCGAGCTATGACGTTTAATTGCCTGCCTTTTTCCTTTACAATTTCACTCCAGATATTGATCAATTGACTCTGATATATTTCCGTCTGCTTTCTCAATCCCTGCAGATCCAGAGCCTCAAATAGAGGATAGAAATCTGATATATTTGACAACAATAAAATACCAAATAACTTATGCAAGTATGATGAGAAGATTGTCTATTGCCATACCCATATCTAAGTATAGTAGTTTAAGTCATTAATGGTTGACTTGTATTGTATTAAATTGTATTGTATAATTAAAATTCATTCTTAGCTAATGATGAAAATACTCATTTTATATAACGATCCATTTGGTGTAATCGCTTTGTTACCAAAATACTTTCTTTGCATTTTTTATTTATTTATTAATTATTATTTAATAGTTGTATTTCATTTTTTATCCATATCTTTTCATAGTAGCTCTATTCATTATCTTTTTATTTTATTTTATAGATTTATCATTCAAATTATGGATATGTGACATTATCTTACAATAGAGACCGATACAATCTGTTCAAACAATGTATTTATTAAAACAGTACAATACGATTTTTCAGTACAATCATCTAAAACAAAGTGTAATGGAGCAAAACGACGACAGTTTTCAAGGTAAAAAAAGAATACTATACCGACTTTATTAACACTTTTCTTATAGTTCATGAATGATTTTCTTAAAAAATTAAAATGTATTATTCATTATTTTTTTATTAGAATTACCTTTTTTTTTAAATAATAGTTTTAAAGTTTTCAAATATTTTTAAATTCCAAATAATAATTATCTATATTTTTTAGAAGAATCAAAAAGAATATATTGATTAATTTTTATTTAATTAATATCCAGTCACGTTTTTAATGTTTATTGTTTATATATATTGAACAAGAGAATATTATACAAATAATTCAAGTTGACTTAGATGGTGTGGTTTGGTTTAAAAGTTTGTCAAACCTACTTTGAAGTCAATATTTGATTTTCTGAAAGTGTTTCGCGAAGAAAAAAAAGAACTTAAAATAAGTTAAAAACTAAAAGTATCCCCACCCCCCTACTTATTTTTTAACTTAAAAGTCATTTCAATTTGACCTTTAATTTTTAACTTTAACCTATTTTTTAAATCAATCCAAAGAGGCTCTTACTCATCCATCTAAATATAGTTTACTTTTCTTCCTAAATAACTTTAAGAAACTTAAAGATATTTCCAAAATCCCGGCATGTGATTTTCTTCCACGGCTTAATCACGCCGAACTAAACACTCATTTTTCATATTAGTTGATTATTTTACTTTTGAAGTAAAAATACTCTTTCTATCCCTAATTACTTGTCCATTTTTAAAATTAACACACCTATTAAGAAACCAATTATTGACATAGTAAGTTTATCAATTTATCCTTATTAATTATGAAATGGATGAATTAAAACTTAAAACATTCAAAATAATCTATATTTTCAAAGTAATTAATTAAGGGTATAATAGGTAAAACAAATTTGTCCTTTCTTGATTTGTCTAAATGGACAAATAATTAAGAATAACTTAAAATAGAAAAGTGGACAAGTAAGTAGGGACAAATGGACTAGTTGTTTAACTTACTAAATTAAGAAAACATCAATTAAATTTCTTTTTAGAAATAAATTAATAAAATTATTTTGTTATTTAAAATTTTTAATATTCGTGTAAAATGAAAGACAGAAAGAGTATTTAGTTTTTTGAAAAAGCACTTTTCTAAAAAAATATTTTTAAAAAAGTGCTGATAATTTTGCTTGTATTCGCTAATTTCGGCTAGTGTGAATATTGTATGTATATAATATGTTCAATAGAGTTCAGACGAATTAAACTCACGTTTAACATTATTGTTCTCATTTTAAATAGATTGCTCGTTTAAAAAAAGAAAATAATGCCCCCATTTCATAAGGAATAAGCATCGTTGATAGTATTATTAATTTTTTCACTCGATTCAGAATTCGCATTAGAATTTTGGTTAAATTTGATTTGCGCATTGCAGGGTCCATTTGGGGTGACACTTTCAACATATTTTTCTCTATATCTAGGATTCAAAGCCAATACAACTGATTAAGAATGAAACAGTCTCAGTCTCACCACTGTACATGTAACAAACCAATACGGGACAGAGCTAGAGTGCATTTATTTTAAGAAATTATTAAATATTTCACAGTTTTGTAGTTTCCTTTCTTTTTTCGCAACCAGCTTCTCTGGGGAAGATGAGTAGTTATGAGGAGTCGTTAGTAGAGTATATAAATGTAACATCTCGCAATTTGAAATAACTAGGAAGAAGCTAATAATTGGAAATAGTCATTTTTGGAAAGAATGAAAATCTGGAAATTTGTTTAAGTTAGGAAAAGTTGAATTTTGGTCAACTTCAAATGGCCATAACTCCTTGATCAAGATGAGTTAGGTGTACTTCCAGACATGGCTGGAAAGCTCTTGGAATGATCTTTCCAAGGCTGCCTAGTTTGCGCGATTCCGAGTTCGTATGAATAAGTTATGCCTTTTGGAAGTTGGGCAGTTGGATTAAGGAAAGTCTCTTCCGGATTTTAGAAGGGTTATTTAGTCTTTTCCTAACCTAATTATTCTAATTCGTTTTTAGGAGATTAATTGGGGTAAAACCAGATTTTGGTCGGTTTAGAAAAGTTAGAGTTCACGCTATGGCTTGGAGAAAAGAGTAAAGAGGAGAAAGGAGAAGAGGAAGCAAGATTCGTCGATTTCGTCAAGGATAGCTTGTGGATTTTGTCAGGGGTGATCCCTAAAAAGGTATGTGAGATCACATAGCGTTGGGTTAGTTAACCCACGCGCCAATCATGATCAAATTCAGCGAAATATGTGTGATTTGAAAGTAAATCCTTTGAGTTCTTAATGAAATTCGTTTGAATTCTTGTGCGTTATTTTGTTGAAGTTTCTTACGATTTGATTCTTGTTTCCGGGTGTAATTTCGGTTTGAATCTATCATATATTGAGGGTATAAATGATTCTTAGTGTTTGGGAAAAGAACCATTGAAGTTTAGAGCGTTTAGAGTTGAAAAACGGAGAAGAAAAGTCTTCAAGCACCTGGGGAATGGGGTGGGGCGTCACGCCAGCCAGAGCACCCCAACTTGGTCTTTGACTGTTGAGGGCTCGTGCCCCGCACCTCTTAGAGTGCCAGGGACGCCAGTTCTCCCCATTCGTTCCCTACCTTTTCGTACTTGTTCCTTAGCAATGTACCTATATTTTGTAGTTGATTTCAACACTCTAAGGTACATCTAAATATCATGAAATCATCCATAAACATGAGATCATGAACCTTAAATCCATAGTCCAATTCAAGGAAAGTTAGGATCAACATCAAGAGAAGTAGGATTCAAGTCAAGAGAAGTTCTTAGAGTTTTCCAAAAGTCTTTTCCAAATGTTTTAACTTTGTTCTAAGACTTAAATTTCAAGTTAAGCAAAGAGTAAAGAGTTGAAGTTCATTTTCTTCAAAAGTATATGGGGACCATGTATTTCCAAAGAGTTTAAAATGTTTTCACATTTAAACAAGAAAGGAAACCTCGATTTCCAAAGAGCCTTCGGACTAGTTTTCAGAAAAGAGTAAATGCTTTCATAATTAAGCAAGAGGGGAAAATTTGATTTCCAACACCGATATGGGGATGCTAGTTCACATTAACTCAAGTCTCCATAAACCATGTAGCCATCATGGGTAGAAAAGGGTCATACTTTTTAGATGAATCTTTTTCGCATAGACTAGTGGATCCACTTAGTAGTTCAGGTTCTATACCACGACAAGGTATAGGATGGCCCGGGCAGCGTGGGGCTAATAACGTTGTATCATCACTATAGTTTTTAAGTGTTGCTTGTCGGTTAGAGAAACTCCCACAGCAGTAATTGCATGGTTTCTCAAGGGGTTCTACTTAGTATGGATGGGGGTATGAGACTTCATTCATGCATTGCACAAGTAGACTTTGAGTGGGATCATGATATGTTTTTTTTTTGATTTTATGATTATGAGTTGACAACATGTTTTAAACAGTTTTCTTTTTCTTTATATTGCACTTGTCTTAAACTGCTTTATAATGAAATGAGTTCAGTTAAGTATTCATGAGTCTAGAAAAGCCAAGGTAAGTGTTTCTTTCAGATCCTTTTCAAGCCTATGTTATGTTTGGCTTTCCAACTCGCATACTCATACATTCAATGTTCTGATGCCAGTTGGCCTGCATCGTCTTATGATGCAGACATAGGTAACTTGGATTGGCATTCCGACGCATCGTTGATCCAGTGAGTAGTTCAGAGTATGTTGGTGAGCCTCCTTGCATTTCGGAGGATCCATTTAATTGTTTTCTAGTTTAGTTCATTAGGATGTTGTGGGGTTTGTCGCAACATCCATCTCAGTTGTTATTAGAGGCTTCATAGACAGTCAGATGTTAGTTGTTTAGTCTTTTCATTGTCATTATTCCATGTTGAGACTTGAGTTTGCCTTAATGGCCAGTTGAATGTTCATTTATAACATTCCAGTTTACTATATGAACTTACCTTTGTTGAGTTTAAGTCTTCCGCTGAGTTAAGTAAGCCAGGCCAAGGGTTCGTTTTGAGCCAACAATGGTCTTCGAGTGTCAGTCCCGCCCAGGGCGTAGGCTCGGGGAGTGACAAACTTGGTATTAAAGCACAAAGTTTAAGAGTCCTAGGGAGTTTATGAAGCCGTGTCTGTAGAGTCTTATTTATCGGTGTGAAGCCACATCTATAATTATTAGGCTGCAACATTTAGGAAAATTTCTCACTTCTTTCATACTCATTTCGTGTGTTAGATCTTGGTCTCCAAAAGGTTTCCCTTTAATTCGTTCTTGCGCATGTTTCAGATAATCATGCCTTCACGAAGAGCAGTTAGAGGTCGTCCAGCTAGGAGAAATGTTGATGAGCAGGAGTTACCTAATGCACCTGAAGTACAACCTCAAAGGCAAGTTAACCATGCTGAATTCCGTGAGACTATCCGGATGTTAAGCCAAGTTGCGACTCATCAAGTTGGACGGAGAAGTAATCGACATGATGTGGCTGATACTTCAAGAATCCTTGAGTTTTTAGGGATGAATCCACCATGCTTCACAGGTTCAAGTGTCACAGAGGATTTAGAGAACTTTGTTGAAGTACTTCAGAATTTTTTTGAGATATTGTATGTTGTTGATGCTGAGAGGGAGGAACTATCTGCATACTAACTGAAGGGTATCGCTAGAGTCTGGTTCGACCAATGGAAAAAGAATAGGGTTGAGGATGCGTCAATACTGAGTTGGGCTGTGTTTGAGAGTGCTCTCATGAGACGTTTCTTTCCCCGTGAGTTGCGAGAGGCAAAGATAAGAGAATTTCTTACCCTTAATTCGGAGTCTATGAGTGTTCATGAGTACAGTTTGAAGTTCGCACAACTTTCCCTCTATTCCCCGGAGATTGTTGTTGAAATGAAGAACAAGATTAGTTTATTTGTTGCTGGATTGTCTCGTCAGTCAAGCAATGAAGGCAAGGCAGCAATATTGATAGGGGATATGGACATAGCAAGGCTAATGATACATGTACAACAAGTTGAGGAGGATAAGCTGAAGGATAGAGAAGAGTTTAAGAATAAGAGGGCTAAGACATCAGGGAACAAGTTCAGGCAGCAAAAGAGTAGTGCAAATTGGTTTTCCTTCCAATAGAAACAGAAGGGACCTACCCCATTATCTGCTAGTGCACCTGCACCTAAGAACAAAAGTGAGTACAATAGTCAGAATTCCCAGAGTTTCAGAGCTTAACCTGCCTATTCTCAAGGCAGTATGGCACAAAGGGGTAGTAAGCCTCCTGCATATGCTAAGTGTGGCAGAAACCACTCAGGTATTTGTCGTGAGGGCTCTACTGGTTGTTTCAAGTGTGGTCAGAACGGTCATTTTATGAGGGAGTGTCCTGAGAACATGCAAGGTAATGGTAATAGGGGGCAATAGGGCCCAACTTTCTTCAGTTGCTCCATCAGACAGAGTTGCACCTCGAGCAGCTACTTCAGGTACTAGCGGGGAAACAAACCGATTGTATGCTATCAATAGTCACAAAAGCAAGAGAATTCTCCAGATGTGGTCACTGGTATAATCCAAGTCTTTACTTTTGATGTTTATGCTTTGCTAGACCCAGGAGCAAGTTTATTTTTTGTTAACCTTTATGTTGCAAATAAGTTTGATGTTATTCTTGAGAAACTGTGTGAACCCTTCTGTGTTTCTACACCTGTTGGAGAGTCTATTCTAGATGAGCGAGTTTATAGTGATTGTGTCATTTCCGTCCATCACAAAGACACCATGGCTTATTTAATTGAGTTAGACATGGTAGATTTTGATGTCATTCTTGGTATGGACTGGTTTCATGCCTGTTATGCCTCAGTTGATTGTAGAACTCGAGTAGTTAAGTTTCAGTTTCCAAATGAGCCAATCTTAGAGTGGAAAAACAGTTCAGCAGTGCCTAAGGGTCGTATCATTTCGTACCTTAAGGCAAGGAAATTAGTTTCTAACGGGTGTTTCTATCACTTAGTCCGAGTTAATGACTCTAGTACTGAGATACCTCATATTCAGTCAGTTTTAGTAGCACGAGAGTTTCCAGAAGTCTTTCTTGATGATATTCCCGGAGTCCCTTCTGAGTGAGAAATAGACTTTGATATATACATTCTTCCAGATACTCGTCCTATCTCTTTTCCGCCATACAGAATGGCACCAACATAGTTGAAGGAGTTGAAAGAGCAGTTAAATGATCTATTAGATAATGGCTTCATTCGACCAAGTGTCTCACCTTGTGGAGCTCCGGTCTTGTTTGTGAGAAAGAAAGATGGTTTCCTTATGATGTGTATAAATTACCGTCAATTGAACAAAGTTACCATCAAGAATAAGTATCCTCCTCCGAGAATTGATGATCTTTTCGATCAGCTTCAAGGGGCTTCTTGTTTTTCTAAGATTGACCTCAGATCTAGCTACCATTAGTTGAAAGTAAGGGAATGTGATTTTTCCAAGACAACATTCAGGACCCGTTGTGATCATTATGAGTTTTTGGTCATGTCCTTTGGTTTGACCAATGCACCAGCAACGTTCGTGGACCTTATGAATAGAGTCTTCAAACCTTACTTAGATATGTTTGTTATCGTCTTCATTGATGACATACTAATTTATTCAAGAAATGAAGAAGATCATGCTGGCCATCTCAGAATAGTTCTTCAGACTTTGAAAGATAATGTGTTGTATGTTAAGTTCTCAAAATGTGAGTTTTGGCTTGAGTCTGTGGCGTTCTTGGGCCACATAGTTTTCGGAGATGGAAATAGAGTTGATACCCAGAAGATAGAGGCAGTGCAGAATTGGCCTAGACCCACATCTCCTACTGATATTATGAGTTTCTTGGGTTTGGCTGGCTATTATAAAAGGTTTGTAGAGGGGTTCTCGTCTATTTCATCCCATTTGACTAAGTTAACTCAGAAGACAGGGAAATCTTAATGGTCTGAAGCTTGTGAGAAAAGCTTTCAGGAATTGAAGAAGAGGTTGACTACTGCCCAGTTTTGACCTTACTAGAAGGTACTCAACGTTTTGTGGTGTACTGTGATGCATCTAGAGTTGGGTTGGGTTGTGTCTTAATGCAGAATGACAAAGTTATAGCTTATGCCTCTAGACAGTTGAAAGTTCACGATAAGAACTACCCCACCCATGACTTAGAGTTGGCTGCTGTAGTATTCGCTTTGAAGATATGTCGTCAGTACTTGTATGGTGTGCATGTTGATGTATTCACTGATCACAATAGTCTTCAATCTGTGTTCACCTAGAAAGAGCTTAATCTCAGACAAAGAAGGTGGTTGGAATTATTCAAGGATTATGACATGAGTATTCTTTATCACCCAGGTAAGGCTAATGTTATTGCTGATGCCTTGAGCAGGTTGTCTATGGGTAGTACCGCCCATGTTGAGGAAGATAAGAAATAGTTAGCAAAAGATGTGGATAGACTTACATGATTAGGAGTTCGACTAACGGATTCCACAAGAGAAGGAATAGTGGTGATGAATGGGGCTGAATCATCATTAGTGTCAGAAGTAAAAGGTGAGAAAGACCAAGACCTTATCTTTCTTGAATTGATGGCAAATGTTCATAAGCAAAAAGTATTAACTTTTGAAGAAGGGGGAGATGGTGTGTTGAGACATCAAGGTAGGTTGTGTGTATCAATGGTGGATGGAACCCAAGAGAGGATCATGGAAGAAGCTTAAAGCTCCAGATATTCCATTCATCCGAGTTCCACCAAGATGTATCGTGACTTGAGAGAAGTCTATTGGTGAAAAAGTATGAAGAAGAGATATTCACATCTCTTCAAACCCGGAGAAATTCTAGATCAAGGTACTAATCCTTTCTTAGTATTTATTTATGGGTAAGCATGTTGTTTGTTTGCATTTGCTTGTTGGGTGTTTGAACTTGATGTTACGCCCTGAGCCTAGTAAGAATAATCTCATTCGAGGAGGAATGTTCCCAAGGGGGAGATATTGTAACATCTTGCAATTTGAAATAACTAGGAAAAAGCTAATAATTGGAAATAGTCATTTTTGGAAAGAATAAAAATCTGGAAATTTGTTTAAGTTAGGAAAAGTTGAGTTTTGGTTAACTTCAAATGGCCATAACTCCTTGGGTTGTTGGATTAAGGAAAGTCTAATTCGGATTTTAGAAAGGTTATTTAGTCTTTTCCTTACCTAATTATTCTAATTCGTTTTTAGGAGATTAATTGGGGTAAAACCAGATTTTGGTCAGTTTAGAAAAGTTAGAGTTCACGCTAGGACTTGGAGAAAAGAGAAAAGAGGAGAAAGGAAAAGAGGAAGCAAGATTCGTCGATTTCGTCAAGGATAACTTGTGGATTTCGTCGTGGGTGATCCCTAAAAAGGTATGTGAGATCACATAGCGTTGGGTTAGTTCATCCACGCGCCAATCATGATTAAATTCAGCGAAATATGTGTGATTTGAAAGTAAATCCTTCGAGTTCTTGATGAAATTCGTCTGAATTCTTTTGGGTTGTTTTGTTGAAGTTTCTTGCGATTTGATTCATGTTTTCGGGTGTAATTTCGGTTTGAATCTATCATATATCGAGGGTATAAATGATCCTTAGTGTTTGGGAAAAAAACCATTAAAGTTTAGAGGGTTTAGAGTTGTAAAACGGAGAAGAAAAGTCATCAAGCACTTGGGGAAGGAGGTGGGGCGTCGTGCCAGCCAGAGCACCCCAACTTGGTCTCTGAATGTTGAGGGCTGGCGCCCTGCGCCTCTCAAAGTTCCAGGGACGCCATTTCTCCCCATTCGTTCCCTATCTTTTCGTACTTGTTCCTTAGCAATGTACATATATTTTCTAGTTGATTCCAACACTCTAAGGTATATCTAAACATCATGAAATCATCCATAAACATGAGATCATGAACCTTGAATCCATAATCCTATTCAAGGAAAGTTAGGATCAATGTCAAAAGAAGTAGGAGTCAAGTCAAGAGAAGTTCTTAGAGTTTTCCAAAAGTCTTTTCCAAATGTTTTAACTTTGTTCTAAGACTTAAATTTCAAGTTAAGCAAAGAGTAAAGAGTTGAAGTTCATTTTCTTCAAAAGTATATGGGGACCATGTATTCCCAAAGAGTTTAAAATGTTTTCACATTTAAACAAGAAAGGAAACCTCGATTTCCAAAGAGCCTTCAGACTAATTTTCAGAAAAGAGTAAATGCTTTCATAATTAAGCAAGAGGGGAAACTTTGATTTCTAAGATAGCCTTTGAGCTAAGTTTTTGAGCACTAATCTCAAATCACAGAACAAGTATGTTTTTAAACATAAAAGCTAATATATATTATATTTTTGGGAGTAGTATTGGGCACGGATATGGCGATGCGAGTTCACATTAACTCAAGTCTCCATAAACCATGTAACCATCATGGGTAGAAAATGGTCATACTTTTAGATGAATCCTTTTCTCATAGACTAGTGGATCCAATTAGTAGTTCAGGTTCTGTACCACGACAAGGTATAAGATGGCCCGGGCAGCGTGGGGCTAATAACGTTGTATCATCACTATAGTTTTTAAGTGTTGCTTGTCGGTTAGAGAAACTCCCACAACAGTAATTGCATGGTTCCTCAAGGGGTTCTGCTTAGTATGGATGGGGTATGGGACTTCATTCATGCATTGCACAAGTAGACTTTCAGAGGGATCATGTTATGTTTTTTTATGATTTTATGATTATGAGTTGACAACATGTTTTAAACAGTTTTCTTTTTCTTTATGTTGCACTTGTCTTAAACTACTTTATAATGAAATGCGTTCAGTTAAGTATTCATGAATTGAGAAGAGCCAAGGTAAGTGTTTCTTTTAGATCATTTTCAAGCCTATGTTATGTTTAGCTTTCCAACTCGCATACTCGTACATTCAATGTACTGATGCCAGTTGGCCTGCATCGTCTTATGATGCAAACACAGGTAACTAGGATTGGCATTTCGGCGCATCATTGATCCAGTAAGCAGTTCAGAGTCTATTGGTGAGCGTCCTTGCATTTCGGAGGATCCATTTCATTATTTTCTAGTTTACTTAATTAGGTTGTTGTGGGGTTTGTCCCAACATCCATCTCAGTTGTTATTAGAGGCTTCATAGACAGTCAGATGTTAGTTGTTTAGTCTTTTCATTGTCATTATTCCATGTTGAGACTTGAGTTTGCCTTAATGGCCAGTTGAATGTTCATTTATAACATTCCAGTTTACTATATGAACTTACCTTTGTTGAGTTTAAGTCTTCTGCTAAGTTATGTAAGCCAGGCAAAGGGTTCGCTTTGGGCCAACAATGGTCTTCGAGTGTCAGTCCCGCCCAGGGTGTAGGCTCGGGGTGTGACAATAAATTTAATGCTAAATAGAGTATATTAGTAATGTTTGATTAATAATGCTTGTATTAATTAGTAATGCTTGTATCAATTATAGATAAATTATTTTTATGCATTGTTTAATTAGGTGCATTAAAAATAACAAGTATTGCATAAAAAAAATTATTTACAAAGATACTCTTCACAATTATGGTGGAAAAGATTAAAAAAAAGTTTTAAGGGGCAATTGGGTCTTTAACCATGCTAATGCATGCATTAAAACCATTGCATTACTAATACCTAGAATCCATGATATTAGTAATAGTGTAATACACACTTTAATACACAATAAAGTGTTTAACTAATGTTTACATTAGTTATAAATAGGTTGGAAAAAAAAAATACTAAACAAGGTATTAATAAAACATAAAGTAAGAATTTATATTTCTAGCTTTATTATTATATATAAATTTGGCGATAAATTATTGTTCAATATTAAAGTCTCACATTAGTTAAATGTATGAGATTCAGTTTTGTTATATGGTGGAGATGTGAGACAAGTGATCAAGTTATTTATATGTTATATTAAGAAAATGAATAGATTAAAGAATATGTAAAAAGACTATTTTTTTTGTATTTTAGTTTCTGGCTAATACACGTAGAGTGTATTAGGAAAAATAATGCATGCATTAGCTTTGTGTATTACTATAAATAATGCTTGCATAAGTTAAACACTCTATTGTATATGGAGGAGTCGTTAGATAAAGTGTATAAGAAATACTTGCTTTAATAATGCTTGTATTAGTCATACTTGCATTAGTTGTACATAAATTATTTCTTATACATTGTTTGGTTTGGTAGCATTAAAAATAGCATGTATTGCACACAAATATTTATTTACAAAAATATCCTCCATAATTATGGTGAAAAATATGTAAAAGTATTTTTGAAGGGTATTTGTGTCTTTAAAATGCTAATGCATGCATTACTAATACCTAGAAATTCATGGTATTAGTAATGCACACCTTAATACACAATAGAGTGTTTAATTTATGCAAGCATTATTTATAGTAATACACAAAGCTAATGCATGCATTATTTTTCCTAATACACTCTACGTGTATTAGCCAGAAACTAAAATACAAAAAAAATAGTCTTTTTACATATTCTTTAATCTATTCATTTTCTTAATATAACATATAAATAACTTGATCACTTGTCTCACATCTCCACCATATAACAAAACTGAATCTCATACATTTAACTAATGTGAGACTTTAATATTGAACAATAATTTATCGCCAAATTTATATATAATAATAAAGCTAGAAATAGAAATTATTACTTTATGTTTTATTAATACCTTGTTTGGTATTTTTTTCTAACCTATTTATAACTAATATAAACATTAGTTATACACTCTATTGTGTATTAAAGTGTGTATTACACTATTACTAATATCATGGATTCTAGGTATTAGTAATGCAATGGTTTTAATGCATGCATTAGCATGGTTAAAGACCCAATTGCCCCTTAAAACTTTTTTTTAATCTTTTCCACCATAATTGTGAAGAGTATCTTTGTAAATAATTTTTTTTATGCAATACATGTTATTTTTAATGCACCTAATTAAACAATGCATAAAAATAATCTATCTATAATTGATACAAGCATTACTAATTAATACAAGCATTATTAATCAAACATTACTAATATACTCTATTTAGCATTAAATTTATTGTCACACCCCGAGCCTACACCCTGGGCGGGACTGAC